ATAAGTGAGGGAAGGCAGAAGCAGGCACAAGGGCTGGAGGGCCCCGCAGAGACTGCCCAGTTCTGCTTCCTTGTTTCACACGTGGGGGGGCTGAGGCCCGCAGGGGCTGCGGTTGGCCTGAGTTCAGCCAGGGGTCAGAGCTGGCCCCTTGACCACGATGTCCACTGTCCCAGGTTCTGGGCTGGCTGGAGCCCTGTGGGTTCCGGGACAAGGGGAGCCTGGAGGCAGACAGAATGGAGAGTCCTAGGTGACGGGTCCGGTGGGAGCATGTGGAAGATGGCCTCTGCTGGGGTTCTCCACTTCTTTCCCCCTGGAGCCCTGCTGCCTCCAAGGGCTCCGGCCCTGTGGCCTCAGGGTGGTTGGTGGGCCGTGGGGTTTCTCTGGCAAACCCACTGCCCTGTGTCTCGGCCTCCAATGGAACCACCCCACCCCACCCTCACTGTCCTGCTCACCCCCGCCTGCCTGGCTGGGGCCAAGCCCACGGCATTTCCCAAAGGTTAATGTGGCTGCCGCACGAGCCGCCCCCCTGTCCATGGCGAGTGTGAGTCACAGGCCCTGGGAGCCAGCTCTCTGATCTCCTCTAACCCTCACAAGGTCACTGTGCCAGTGAGGCTGAGGCTCCACGATGTAGGGCAGCACCGTGAGCAGACCAGGAGTTCATCCTGAGGTTGGCTGACCCCAGAGCCTGGACCCCCTGCACGCACCAGGGGCCTGTGCAGCATCCTTAGAAGAGGGAAGCAAGTTCCCAGGGGTGTCCAGCCCAGAGGGCAACATGGGGGGCTGTCAGGGGTCTGTGGCCAGGAAAGGGGGCTGTGAATCGGGTGGCTGATGTGGGTGGCAGAGCAGGCCCATTGGGAATGTGTCCCTGGCCAGTGAAGAGCTGGGAAGCCCCAGGGCATGCACACACGCCCACACATGCAGATTCCTGGCTCACACATACCCCCTTCTGTTTCCCCACTGGAGTGAAAACACACATTCCACATGGACTGAGTCGGGATGTTCCCTGAGGAGGTTGATAGGTAAGATATTGATCTTTAAAAAGAAAAAATGTGTGTTAGGTAATTGATAATTAAACTCTGTTACTAGTTTTAACAGATTTTCAGTTGGGCTCCCTGGAAAACCCAAGAATGATTTAATTAATTTCTAATATATCTTTTAAAAACTTTCTGATCTTACTGTGTTTTCTAAAAGGTACACAGCAGCTTTCAATAATAGCAGTTGCCCTTGGCTTGATCTTCATTTTAATAAAGAGGCCTCTGATGTTTTGTTGTGAAGTCTGAAATTGGCCCTAAATTTCAAACAGATATTCTTCATCATGAGGAATACTTCATTCCCATGTTAAGTGCCAAGAGTGTACAACAAGAATGGATATTCATCCGAGGCTTTCCTATATCTGGCAAAATCATCAAATTCCTTTCCTCCTTGACCTATTAATGTGTTGACTTATTAGCTTTTCTGAGCTAAATCATCCTGCTCCTGGAATAAATCCCACAGGGTCAGGCTCAATTGTGCTCTGAAATACTGCTGAGTTCATTCTGCTGATATGTTGCTTGGGGTATTTTTCATCTATATTCATAGGTGAGAATTTATTCGTACTTTTCTATTAGGGTAGATATTTGTCACATCTATACATCATGGTTATGTTAGCTTCATAAAATGAATAGGAAAGTTTTTCAATATGAATTCTGTAGTTGAAATAGTTTAAATATCATATAAAATTATCTGACTCTCTAAGGCTTGAAATAATTCATTTTGGAAACTGGCTAAGCTGGGGCTTGCTTTTATTTTTCCCTGAGGTTTTAGTTGGCTGTGAAGTTACTTAATTTGTACTGTGGTTGTTGGTCCTTTTGGGTTCTAAATATTTTTAGCCTATTTTGGTTATTTATATTTTCTAGGTAATATCCCAGTTTGAAATGCTTTCAGGCCTTTTAGCACAGATTTATATCATCTATCCTTTTCAGGTTTCTTCTTCACATCTTCTCCACATTAGCTTCTCTTTTTCATCCCTCTGTTTTTGCATTTCTTCTTCTCCATTCTTTGCTTCCCTTCCATCCTCCCTCTTTCCGTTTCTGCTGGTGTCCTTCTTTTCTTCCTTCCTTTTGTTGATGAGAATTGCCAAAGGTTTATCTTTTAAATTTTCATTTTCAAAAGAAAACCAGCTCTTAGTGTACAGCAAGTCCTACTGTCTTCCTTTCCTTAAATCCACTAATTTCTCAGTTAGTAATTTCTTCCTCCAGTTTGATTTGCTGAATGTCTGTTTTGTTTAGAAGCTCTTAAGCTTTTTGAATCAAGTGCTTAGTTTGTTTTAAATTCCCCCTCATTTATTTAAAATATATTGAAGTCTATGAATTTTTCTGTGAGTACAGCTTTGGGCATATTGAATTTCACGGGATTTCTTCTAAGGGTTATTTTTCTTATGTGTCTATAATTGGAGTTTTGATTGCTACTTGAACACAAACATGACTTAGGGAAGCTTTTTATTAAGTGGGTGATTTTTTTTTTTTGGTTCATCGTTTGTTTATTAATATCCAGACATATCATTCTGTCGCCTGTACAGACGACAGTTCTGTTTGGGAACTCCATCAGGGTTTCATTGGTCATTTGATGTGTGAGCAATGTGGATGAGTACTCTTGGATAGAAGAACATTCCTTGCTGTTTTTAGGGCATGATATTTCACATATTTTTCTCTTTATGCTTCCATCCCCACGTCCTGAGAGAATGCCCTGCAGTATTTTCATTCCTTTCTACCAATCATCTCTTTGGGTCTGAGTCGCGTGTCAGGAATTGTAGAAAGTTCTAGTTGTCGTCCTGCCTGTTTCTGGTCTATGAAGAGGCCTATGCGCTGTGCTTGGGCGCTGGGCCCATCTCCTGGGCACAGCGGGGCAAGCATGTTCTCAGCAGCGTGCCTTTCATTTTCAACCTTTGGCAGAAAGCACCAGCCTGCAGGCTGGAGCAGTGGGCTGTTCCTGGCTCTGCTTGGCTAGACCGTGTTACCTCAGGCTGTCCTTGGCCTCCTGGGCTGCACCTCATCCCCGCAGTGGTCAGTAATGCCTTGGGGGGTGCTGTGGGGCTGTGTAGGATGGCCCAGTAGGTGGAAACCTGTGAGCATCACTTATTGGCAGTGACACTGCCAGCTGTTTCAGGTCAGGCCTGGATCTGGCCGCCCAGCACGGGGCCCCTCAGGTGCATATGCACACCTGGCCCTCGGCTCCTGCCCTGGCATCCCACAATGCTGTGCTCACTGGCCCCTCCATGCACTGTGCAAGCAGGTGGCTCTGGGCCAGGCCTTGTCCATCCCTCAGGGACCCTGGCAGTCTCCCTCCACCTGCCTTCGCCTTACACCTGTCCTCCCTTCTCTGGAGCCTGTGCTGAATCCTGGGTTTCATAGCAGATCATGGTGGTCACACTCACCGGGGTTCACCACTTTGGAGCTGGAAAGCCTGGGGCTGATGACTTAAAACCTTTGGGGATTTGTTCCCTGTCTGGAAAATGGGATGACAGCTGCTGTGCCAGCCACGTGTGCAGAGCGGTGAGTGGGAAAGTGCAGTGCCCCGGGGGGCAATGGAGACAGCTGTGCCGCTGGTGCTCCTGGGGGCCAGCCAGTTCTAGACACTAGGGGGTTCAGGGCACGGGACAGGAAAGCTGCCTGTGTACCCAGCATGTGCATAGGGAGCAGGAGATGTTTCTGTTTGAGGGTCAGGATGCGAGTCCAGGTCCTGTTTCTAAGAGGCCATGGCCACTGGACAGGCTGTGCTGTCCAGGCCCAGTGGGGAACTGGGTGCCTGCTGGCCTCCACCCTGAGGCTGGCACACACAAACCTCCAGCCCCTGCAGAGCAGCAGGATCCCAGGGGTGCCACTCTGGGTGTCTGCCAGGAGGATGACAATTCAGGCGAAGGAAATGGATTTTTATTTGTTTTTAAACACAAAGGAAAATCGTTGCTCAGCCTAATTAGATGTCATTTAAAAATAAAAGAACTGTACGTTCTTTTCCCCCCTGCACCCCCAGACAGCCTGCAGGGTGGAATAGAGGCCACTCTCTACTCAGGCCTGAGTGTGGCTTGTCTCTCCAGCCCCTCCAGCCCTAGAGGCCCAGCCTCCCTGCCTCTCAAGGACCCTCAACTCTGACCCAGTTCCCTGTTGTCCTGCTGGCTCACAGTCATGCCCCTGCTGCTCTTTGGGGTCCTTCCTGTGTGGAGTACCGGGGGAGCCGGGGTCAGACACCCCCTTCTGGAACCTGGGGTCCTGACAGGTGGCAGAGTTTTGCAGACTTTTTTTTTGCCCCAGATTTTGCTTCACATACTTAGCACCAATCTTAAGTGGACGCCCAATAGAGGAAGGAGATCCCAGAGTTGAGATTCCAGTGGAGGTGAGGGCTGCACAACGCCCTCCTCGGTGGCACTTTGAGGACAGGAATGCCTCCCAAGTCTATCTCATCTTCCTCCCCCTTCTGTCTGAGGCTATGCCCAGCTCAGCCTCCAGGAGTCTGAGAGCTACCTGCCCATGTGCAGGAGTGCACCATGACCCTTGTGGAATCTGAGGCCAGAGGGGGGATGGGGAGGCCCTGGGCACCATCCTCTTGCCCTGGGGGCCCTGAGTGGGAGGTTGGCATGCCAGCAGCCCGCCCTCCAGGAAAAGGGCAGGGATTCTCTGAAATCCTACCTGCTCCTCCCTGGGCCTCTCAAGGCTCAATAATGGGATGGTTATTGGTGGACAATGACATTTTGTCCCTCAAGCAGCCACTAGAAGAAGCTGACTGGGCAGAACAGGAAAGAAGGAGGAGGAGGAAACCCGAACTCGGCAGAATCAGTGTTTAGGAGGGTGAAGAGGAGATGGCAAGATTCCTTTAATCAATTCAAATAGGATTTGATAATAGGAAAGAATTCAGAAGGAGAAAAAAAAAATGAATCATTCATCTGTAACAAAGCTTTAATTGTTGGCATCTCTCCGAGGCTGGGCCTTTGTGGAGAAGGCGCCAAGGTGTTGCGTGGCTCCGTTCCCATGGCAGCCACCTCCTGGCTGGAGTCCGGCCCACAGCCCTCCGCCAGCCTCCAGGACTGCCCTGGCGGGCCCAGAGGGTGCACGGAGGTAAATACGGCTCTTCTTCCTGGCATTTGTGAATATGATTTCTTGAAGCTTGGTTTTTGTGAAAAATGCCACCCCTTGCCCTCATTCCCCGCAAGGTCCATCAGGCTGGGAGGATGGGAGCTGCACAGAGCTGCACAGCACCCTGCCTGCAAGGATGGGGCCAGCTGTGCCCTCCTGAGGGCTTCCCTGCTGGGAGGGCCACAGGGGTACAGGGGTGAGGACTAATGAAGCCTCTCCACAGAGGCGTGTCACCCCTGCCACTCTCCATCCCAGGTAGAGCAGCCACCTCGAAGGCAGAGCCAGTTCTTTTATTTAAGAAATGTTTTTAAAAAGTTTGGCCATGCTGCAAGGCTTAGTTCCCTGACCAGGGATTGAATCTGTGCCCTCAGCAGTGAAAGCACTGAATCCTAACCACTGGACACCAGGGAAGTCCCCAGAGTCAGTTCTGAGCCCACATGCTGGGACAGGGCAGCGTGGCCAGGCAAGTGGGTCTGCTTGCCTGGAAGGAGAGGCAGCTTCCCCCAACTTTCTCCCTGTCTGCATCAGGGGCCCAGTGACTATTGAGAGTGTATGCCCAGAGGAGAGAGGGCCCCAGGGTAGGGTCAGGAGAGGGGCAGCGCCAGCCCCCATAACTGTGTCTAGAAAGGTGGTGGGGACCCTGGAGAACAAGTGTCCCTGGGGCCTACCAGTGTCCTGCAGTTCTGACTCCACTGAAACCAACAAGTGCTAAGACTGTCCCGAGCGTGGTGGCCTCAGGTCACACTCAGTACCACCTGTGAAGCCCCTGCTGGAGGTGCCAGCTTATAGAGGAGGTTGCTAGCTCCCAATCCAGGGGTGGCCAGGTGTCACTCCCAGCCTGCTGGACCCCCGGCCCATGTTTGCAGCCAGACCCTGTTTCTTTAGTATGTGGTCCCAGCAGACAAGACTAGGGCTGCAGGAGTTTAAGAGGTATATTTGAGCTCAAAGGTAGGAAGATCTGAAAGCCAGGATTTGGGGAGGGGAAGAACCGCCCCAGGAGAGAGCTGTCTGCCTACCTGTGTCTGAATTCAGGCTGGCAGCTGCTCTCCTGACCTTCTCCTCTTCTGGAGGACTGATCTTTTAACCCATCATATCACATCCTTATCTGTGTAGTCACTGTGCATCCCAGCCACAGCCTGCCCCAAGAGGCTCAGTGGGGACAGAGACCCAGTTTCCTTCATTGGTAGGTCTCCAAGGTGTAGGCGGGTTCCTTGGTAACACTTGTGAATGAATGAATGAATGGTCAGTTGGTCAAGGAGTGAGGGCACTGTGGAACATCCACCTCCAGTGCAAATGACATCAGAGAACCAGACAGTGAGCCCTAGAGGGTGAAGGGCTCCATTTTGCAGATGTAGGAGGCCCAGCCCCAGCTGCCCTAAGGTTCCCAGCACAGGTCCCTGGGCCAAGCAGCCAGCATGGATCTTTCCCTAACTGTGGCTTCTGAGTGCTGTTGGGGCTACTGCCCTGCTCCCACCAAGCCTGGGTTTTTCTGGAACTGGATGAAACCAGAGACAGCCCCACATATGCACTCATTCTGAAATCTCTGCCAAAGGCTGCCCTCTTGGTTGAGTGGCCCTCCAGGGTGAGGGGCCAGGGCTAGCACCCAGTGTCCCCCCAGGAGCACTTGCTCTCACTCTCCTCCAGTCAACAGAGGGGAGACTGGCAAGATGTGTAATTTTCAGTTGCTAATTGTGATGCCCTGCAGCTTGCTGAGCTAAAAATAGTCTCCATTTTGTTGAGTAGGTTAAAAAATAGAAGCCCATGTGCTGCCTCCAAAAAAGCACCCCTTGCAGAGCCTGGCAGAGGCAGGGGGCTGTGGTGCCCCTCCTCCACCTCCCAGCAGCTCCGTGGGGGCTCATGCGAGATGGGCCTTCAGGGCCATTTTTGTCCCCGTTTTCCAGGAAGCTGGGATGTTTAACTTGGCATCCATGGATGAGCTTCCAGGAGCCCCGTCAGTCCCTGAAATTTTATGCAGAAGGTCGTGGGAAGGTGCACTTATCCGTGTGCCCAGGGTGAGGGCCTCAGTGTTCATCTGATGCTCAGAGGGTCAAGCCCTGGCCAGGCACTATGATGAGCTGGAATGAAAGTCTCCAGATGGAGCAGGAAAGTGGGGCAGGCAGGCCTGGGCACACCTACTCCCCACCGCCTGCCTGGGCAGCCTTGTACAAGTCCGGTGCACTTGACACCCTCATCTAAGAAATGAGCATCTCCACACTGCCATCTGTGGGTTGGGGGAATTGCACTGGATGAGATGTAACACCCAGCACCTGGCTGGGCTCCCAAATCCCAGTGATAAACATCTCAAGTACAAAAGGTTAGGACTTCCCTGGTGGTCCAGTGGTTAAAATGCTATACTTCTACTGCAGGGAGCATGGGTTCAATCCCTGGTCAGGGAACTAAGATCCCACATGTGGCATGGCCACACACACAAAAAAGAAAAAAAAAAAAATCTAGTTAGTCAAAGAAAGCTTATCCCTGCTTCTCCATTTCTTAGAAACTTCCAGAACTGCAGACTCGAGAATTGAAAGGAGTCCTACATTCTGACTGTACCCTGGGAACCTGACCTAGACAGCTCCTCCCCTTCAGAGATGGATGGTGGCCTGACATTGTTCCGTCTAGCTGCACAGGAGTCTGTCCCCTCCCTGGGTTGTTGACCCCCCTCTTAGCTGGGCAGAGCCGGTGGACAGTTATTCCTGGAGCCACCCTCTGACTCCTCCCTCTGGAGCTGAGAGATGTGTGTCATGCAGACCCCCCTGGGGTGGGGGCCATGCATGCCCATTGGGCAGTGCCTTCCCTTTCCTGGGATGCCTCCTGAGAGCAGAGTTGGTGTTAGGAACAGGTAAGGGCATCAGAGGCCAGGAGGCTGGAGGACCCCTGAGAGCCCATGGGTGGGGTCCCTCCCAAGTGGCTCCTGAAGGTTGAGGTCTCTGACCCACCTCCTGCCCCAAGTCCCTTCCTGCCCTCCCCTCCTATCCTACCTTCCTGCCCTCCTCTCCCACCCCACCTTCCTGCCCTGCCCTTCCACCCTACCTTCCTGCCCAGAGCTTGGGGCATCCAGCCAGGGGTCTGACTAGTGCCCCACAGGCCCTGCTCCTGGGCAGGGAACATCACCTCCCAGGGCTGGGAGGCAAGAAGTGAGGCAGGAGCAGACCTCAGGTGTGGGAACACCTCCAGGAGGGTGTGCAAGGTTGCCCCAGACAGTCGTGAGCACGCACAACCCTGCACACAGATGCTGCAGTAATTGGATGTTTGTCTAGAGTCAGTGTCACTTACATTCTATACCCTAGTATGTTTAAGTAAATCGTCTGTGGTAGCTTCAGCTGTGGAAGTCTGTTACGAGACCACTGGGCAGGGTTAGGTCTCCCCCAGGCCTTGTTGGGTCTCTCATACCAGAAGCATGAAAAGCACTTGGGAAAGGCCTTTACCCAGGCCTGGATGAGGGTGCAAGTGGAGGATGTGAAGATGCACGAAGGTGTAGCCATGGGCCCATCCGGGTGCACGTAGTGGGTTCTGGCCACCTTAGTAAGGCCAGGAGCCCTGGGCCTCTGTCACAGCTGTGTATCCCAGAGGTGCAGCGTCTCTGAAGGCCCTCTTGGGCACCGCTGAAGTTTGTGAGTGGAAGGACTGTGCCTCAGGTCACAAAAGCTATACACATGAGCACATGTGGGTATCTGGCTTTTGCATGCATGTGGCCAGTAGCAGATACCCTCCTCCTGATTTCACTGCCTAATGGGGAGGCATGGACTTCCCTGTCCTAGGGCCACACTAGAAAGCATATAGCAGTGAGTGGCCCCCAGCAGTGAGTGGCCCCCAGATCTCTAGCTAAAGTCTCTTGACGACATTGCAAAAGGGAATTTCGTTCATAATCTTCTGTGAAATAGTCCTAAACTCCCTCTTTTCCCACCTTTACCAGCATCTGTCACAGCCCAGGGGCTGCCCAAGATCTCTTACTCCCCACCTGTGCCTCCCTCACCTCCTGGCCCTCAGTCCAGCAGTTTCTATGTCCTTGATGCTTTGGTGCAGTGTGTTTCTTAGAAGGTGTGCATACATGTGACACCTGGAGGGAGGCTCGGACCCAGGTCGAGGGTCTGTGTTGGCTCCTCAGCCCTGGCCCTCAGGGCACGTAGGAGCCGCTGGGTCTCATTCAGATGTGGGGGTGGGGGCAGGGGTCTGTGTGGAAACCAGAAGAATGGCTGCCCTTCTCTGAGCTCAGCCTCCCTAGAGATGGCAGCAAGGCTAAGGTGTGAGCACTTTACTGGGGACTGGCCCCGGGACACAGGAGGGAGGAAGGAGAGAAGCCAGATAACGGTGCTGTGTTCTGACGATCAGCCTCACCGCAGGTCTCTGGAGGCGCTGTGAAGCTTGTGATCTGAGTCTGCCGGGGGTTTTCACCTGGCTCCGTCCGGATGGCTGGTTATGCGTATGATGCGCACACCCACACGGGCCAGGGTGGAGCCACAGGGTCTCCCTGCAATCTCCCAGCCCACCCTCGACACCCACTGGTGCCCGCAGTGCCACCACCTGGCTGATCACTGAAATGCAGGGCGTTGAGTCCCAGCCCAGGCCTGCCGGGTCATGCCCGCACTTTCCCTGGAGGTGCTTGTCCCTTTGAAAGTTGAAGCCTCCAGGTGACAAGAGCAGCTGTGCCCTCGGGGCTGCTCTTCCCTCTGGTGCTGCTCTGCCCTGCTGATGGCTGTGAGGCTGTAGGTCAGAAGTGGTGGCGGGCGGTACTGGGCCACTTGGGTGCCACCGAGGCAAGGCACAGATGCGAGTGGCACACAACGGCCCCAGGGACATGTTTTCTCATCTATCCCTCATCCCTACCCAGTGAGGGAGGAGGCGCAAGAAACTCTACGGCCCATGTTACAGCCAAGGAGAATGAGGTTCAGAGCGGCTCAGAGGTTTCCCTACGGTGTGGAGACCGTGTCTCCTGACTCCAGCCTGGACTCTCTTACCCGCTCCCAGGACTGAAACAGCAGGAG